GATTGACAAATCTCACATGAAATGTCACTATTTAGTGCTTTCCCCATATGTAAATTTCTAATGAGGAAGGTAAGGGGCCAACATTTGCAAGCTAATTATTCTACAAAGGATTCTACAAACCCCGATTGCCCATTAGATTTACTTTTATTGTTTTTACTCATCAGATAACCAACAGCTTGAATGAGATTTTCAGGCTCCGTTTTGCTGAAAAGTTTGTGTGGGGGGGTGACAGACAAAAAGCTCTACTCCTCTAAAATATCTGTGGCAAAAGGTGCTGCAATCCGCTCCAGTCTGCTCAACACTGTCATTTTATTTTCCTAGAAATTCTAGAAAACTTAGAATTTCTTAGTGCTCTAAATGTAGTTCACAACGGGGTGGGTGTAACAGCCATTTCCAGAATGTTCTGTATCCTGCTAGCCACTCCTAAATATGATGGTGTGTTCTTCAAGATATGGCAAGAAGGGCCATAGGGCATTTGAGCCAGCATGCCAACTGATAACTCTTGTATGATATAAGAACATTAGAAAGGTTACAAATGAGAGGAAGCCATTTGGCCCTCTCATTTGTACTGACTGTTGGGAGTTAGTAGTTAATTGATCCAAGGATCTCATCCAGCCTTATCTTAAAATAAGACCGAGTATCAACTTCAACAGCATGGCTGGGTAGCTTCTTCTGTTCTCCCACAGCTCTTAGGGTAGAGAAGTGCCTCCTGTTCTCAGTTTTAAATGTACTTTCACATCCAGCTGTTCCAACTGCTTTTCTCTTTCACTGTTCATTTTGGAGATAATCTGCTGGATTGCCTTTGTCAGTGACTTTGAGGATTTTGAATACTTGTGTCGGGTCTCTTTGTAATCGTCTCTGCTCAAGACTCAAAAGGTTCACTTCCTCAGCCTGTCAACGAAGGGCATTCCCTTTAAGACCTGGAATGGAATGACTGATTCCAGTGCTGCAATATCTTTTTTGGTAACATGGTGAACAAACCTGTACACAATGTTGTAAATGATTATCTACTACTGTGTGTTATGCAATTTTAACATAACATCCCTTGTTGGAGTTCTGCAGTTCTGAACGTTTATGGGTCATCATGTCCAAGAAGACGGTATTTTTAGATTTCTAGATTTTATTAGAGCTCCAGCTCATGCTAACTGCATAACACAACAATTGGCCAGGCTTTCTGTCTCAACTGAATGGAAAACTGTCATCACTGATCATGCTATATCTAATAGTGTGGATTCCTGGATAGTCTCTGTTATTTTCATAAACGGAAGATTATTGTTACATCAGTTACATTACAAAAAGCAGATTGTGCACAGATTTATTCATATACTGTATAAATAAATTCCTTTATTTTCCTGTTAGTTTCTGGCTAGGGTCTCTTCTATGAGCATTATCCATTTTCACTTCATGTTCATGTGTTTTCTCCATGTGTGCCAGTTTCCTCCCGTCTGTAAATACATGCCTCCAGGATAACCTAGGACAACTTTGATTGTGTGGTCCAATTATCCCTTCCTCCATGTCCCTGGGTTGGACTGACAAAATACCCTCACCTTGAGCCCTGTATTTACAGGATAATCTCCTGGATGCCATGCTTTCACCAGGACAGTTGGCTTTTGGGAGGATGGGTATTATGAAACAATACATTTTATTTATCAGAACTTTTAAAACACTTAAATGTTTTATGCAGAAGCAAGGGTGACCATATTGTCCGACTCCATGTTCAACAGGACACTTTGAGACGGGCTGGGATTTTAAAAGTATCCCTGGATTGAAAGTTTTGAATTTGTAAATCCAGAATTATGTCTTTGCTGAGATGCAAAATTTTGCATGATGCTCATGCACAATAAACATGTATCTACACATGTAACCTTACCTAAAATAAGGCTTCTGAATGTATTGGTAATATTGTCCATCTGTCCACCATTCTATCATTGGCAGTAGTCATAAGCAGTATTACATGTGTAGTGCATTGAGCACCAATTTTTGTCACAGCAAGGCAGTGAGATGTGAATCGGCAGATCTCAGATTAGGAATGAACTATAATCCTGCAAAACCAGGAGTTAGACCATGCAGTGCTGAATACATGAGCAGAAGAAATGTAAGATGCGATTTAATCTTAACAGAAAACAAGTGTAAATTACAGTATGTGGAATGATATTTATTTGCTGATGCAAAGCAGTTTTAGTTGGCAGGAGAGCAGAAAAATGTTGGGACAGGTGCCCTTCCAATGAAGTCCCATTTTGTTAAATTAGAAATGATGCATGCATATTTTTTTTAGAGTGAATACCTTTAATGACCGCTTGAATGCTCAAGCAGAACATCTCTATGGAGGAGTAAAGTTAAATGGCAGCAATATTGTCAATATCTTAAGTCAGTTGTGTTGCATCCCTATTTTGATATCAGACGGACAACCTTAAAGTGATGGAATGGTCACAGTCTGTTAAGTAAGCAGAGAAATGAACCCTAAGTTAATGAGACCAAATTTTTCACCAAGAGTAAAATGTGTAAATACTTAATAGCTGTGGACAGAAGTCTCAGCCCAGAGCCATGTGGAACACCCTGAACTAAGTGGAGAACATCAGATTTTACAGGGACAAAATCGCATCCAAGAATCAGATGCTTTGTGAATATCTGAGTATTTTAGGTAGGTTAGTTTCGGCTTAACCTGCATGGTTAAGGGGCAGACCACTGGTCACAGGATGAGTAGGCTTGAACCCCCATTAGGCTGAGGGGTTAACCTAGGCCTGCAGGTTAACCACCTGCAAGGTGGAGATGGGGCGTAAGAATGATGCATGAGATAAATGCGAAAAGAAATGTTTACGCTAGAAATATATTGCTAATTTCCTTAATGTTTATGACTAGGAACAGCTGTGCCTGTTTGACTTGTCGCTATGCCTCCCAAGCCTCAGTTAATGACTTAATATTTAAGGCAGCCAGAATTTATCAGCTGGCGTCCATTAGCTAAACAGGAGTCGGGATTATCAAGGTAAAACCCCAGGATTGATTTCCTTTTGATAATTATTATTAATAATAATAAGATTAATATCACATGCTTCATATGACTTTGGTGTCTGTGCCACCTCAAGCTGGCACCATCCAGTGTATTCAACACCTGCGGGGTGGGTTTCTCTTCAAGGGGGGCTGTCAAGGTGGCAACGTTCAGCACCATTCAGCCTGGTGTGCAGTCTCAACTTTCAGAGCCAAAGTAAGAGCCAGATTAGCACAGGATCGGTTGCCTCCTCTCTCTGTCAGGTCTATGGCACCTGCCCACCCTAAAGGGCTTGGGATGTCATGATAATGCTCATGCAGTCACCTCATCTGATCCATTAGGTGATTTTGGACCTATAAAATAAGTAAAGTTCACAAGCTTCACCTAAATTATAGAAATAACAGCCCTGAGATGTTAATTTTTGAAGCTTGATTACTTAGGAACTGCTTGCAATGATTGATTGCAAAAGCTGTCATTTTTTTTTGTCTCGTCTAAATTCCTGACAATACTGAGAAACCACTATGTTTCACAGAATTGTCACTGAAAAGTTTAATTTTAAGCTTGTCTTTTTAATTTAACTATAAAACAAATGTTTAAATTGCCAGGTCATTTTATCAACACTTTTTATTTTATTACTGTGCTCCAAACATCGGAAAGGGGTATTCTCCATTCATCATTAAATATTTCAGTTGAAATTGTTTTTAAGTTGTGTTGCAGCGCAACAAAATAAGTGTGAGAATTTAATTTCCAATAAATCACGTCTATAGTTTTAGTGGAGGAATATTCACATTGCACAGTTTCCTGTGAGGACAGTCACTCTCTAGATGTAAGCAAAGTGTAAATGGTTAAATACCACAATGATTGCAATTATCGGAATTTTAACTAAGGTGTGGTTTCAAAGATTTTCATTGCCCTGGCGTCCCAGACTTTGACACTGCAGTCTCTCTTTATACATTTCTCCTAAGATGTACTTATAATGATTCGTAAATGGACAACAAAGAAGTAATTAAATCTCATATACTCATTAAAGAGTTTATGTACTCTACAGTGCAATTAATGTGATGCAAGTTCTAAAAAATGTATGAATGAAATTTGCAACACCTAATCAAACATGTTACTGGAAACTGTCAAATAAACCTTAAAGCTCAGCTTTAATATTTTCTTTCATACATACAACTAGATAATCCACAGATAATATCACATTTTAGGATTGAACCTGTGAAATAAATATATACAGTAATACAGTATATTCATTTGCAATCCTTTTTGCTTTTTCTGCATCCTGCTGTTTGTAAAAACTAGTTTAGATTGCAAGATAAATAGCTGTATTCTGACTATATTAAACCTTGTTAAATAATAAATATATTATAAACATAGAAGCAAACAAATAAACATTTTCTTATGTCTACTTGTTTCCTGCCATTTTTACCATAATTTTCTTTTAAAAATAAAAATCCTTAACCAACCTTATTTGTTACAGCTTAATTTTAATTTTATTTAGTTTTTAATATTACTTCTCTTAATAATCTAACTTTTACCATGACTGTCAGAAGTATAATCCTTCAAGAGGAAAATGTGGTGATGTATAGGTTTTGTAGTTTGGGGTCCCAGTTGCAGTCTGCTTTCTCCCCCCTTGTTGCTGTTTTTACACCCTCAAGCACAGTACTTTTCATTCTTGATGTGATATACTGTAGCAGATCTTCAGCTTCTAAACTGATTAATTGTGGTCAAACATGCATAATCCATGATTATAATGTGAGCACAATTCCACACATTTTCATTTTTTGGTTAGCAAATTGTGTGCAAATAGTTATATTCTCAAAAAGAAGACAATAAACACAGAAAGTGAAATTTGACAGTTCAAACATTAGGTTTTGAGAGAATGAGTAAGAATATGTTTAATTATTTCTTCAGACAAGACCCAATAAAATCTGCATAAAAAGCTTAGAATGTATATACTGTACATGTTTATATACACACCGTGATCACTGTTCAGACTGTGTTTTGTTCTCAGGAACTCCTGTGTTTCTGCCTCCTGATGTTGCCACATCTACGTTTGAGAGAGCACACTTGCATGCTTTGTTCCACAGGTGGGTGGTTTGACATTGCCTTTCACCCTCTCTGACCACTCCAGTGGCCTTTTTCACTTCTGACTTGTTGAGCCACCACATGCTCAAAACAAATAGCATTTCAGCTAGCATTCTCACCTGTACTGAAATCTGTGGGCTGGGCAGTGTGCAAAACTTGACCAGGCTTGGGCACAGGGCTCAGCAGTGCATGTGCAGGTGAAAAGAGACGATAATTGTCACAGCAATGACACTAAAGGAAAATCACACACTTTAAGGAACTTTATCAATCCAGTAGTTTTTAAAATTGTTCAAGCATTACAAGCATAGGAAGCAGCTCCTTTCTTACTAGTATCAAGTCTTTGCTAAGATAATCAAATGGTTTGCCTATCTCTCACCCAAGTTGAAAATTACCATCTCTTGTTATAGATGTTATCATTAAGCAGTAACCTGGTGTATTTTTAAACTTATCTAGTCTTCTACAGAAGAATCACAAATGTTTCAAAAGTATTTTTTTTTATTTTCTTAACATGGAAGTCATTTGTCATTCAGAATTAATTGGAAGAGTGACAGTGGAAAGTTCCAAACACATACCATTCATTAATGTCTCTTATGAACCACCCTTGTGATGTGAAGTTTAGCCTATGATTCAAAATGGGAGCATTTGTCTCAGACAATTAATTATGCATTGAAAATTACTTCTAAGAACTAAAAATGAAACATAGTTTAAGTCCTTTTATGAGACTATGACCAAAGGAGCAAAGCTTTCTTCCCAAATGCTGTGTATTTTGAGAACTGCAAAAGTCCTGTCCTCTGGTGATATGACATATGAAAGTCTGCCCAGAATGACTTTCAGACCAGTATGTAACAGAACCTCAGTCTGCCCAACGAAAGACGGGTTCAGTCCATAATTTATTACAGATCAGAAGTGCGAATAAGGCAAAAAAAAATTAAATAGTACCAAATAATAGTAAAACTGAAATGAATCCCTTTTTCAACTACAAAGACCTCTAAGGTCTATGTTAGAGGCAGGAGCAAAACCTACAGAGAAAGTCATCATCATCTGTTAACAAAAAAGCTCAATCTTTTGTGTGTTTGAAATTAAAAATAAGATTAACAGATTAAATTAAAACCTAACTTTAATTTTATTTGCCTGCAGCCTGTTTGATTTTTATAATTCTGAATATCATTACCTGGTTTTGTGAACTGCCCTTAATGCTCACTGGCCTTCAGTAATACATTACAGTGATGTGATTTTTATCCTCATTCAATAGTGCACGTTTTCTTTTGATTGAAAATGGAGTGATTAAGCTGTGTTACTTCAGTTATTCCATGCTTCTTAGGTATAGATTCAGTTTTCTAATAAGCCTGTAGAAACCCACCCTTGAATGATTCTTATAAATAGCATCCCTGATTTTACATGGGTATACACAGGATTTACCATTTTCAAGTTCTGATTGTGGTTTTATAGTCTTGTGAGTGACAATTTTACTGAAGTTCTCACCTTAAAATATATTTTAAAAAACAAACCCACAAAGGAAGAATCAAGATAAGAGTAATAAACATAAAGATTGAAAATATACCGTGCATCTACTTGGACACTGAACAGCAGGTTGTACACACATGTACAATACTATATGGGTAAGGTTCTTTGTCTGCTTTGCTTGCTACAAAAAAACAGTGTAGAAATTCAGTGTTTTAATTTGCATCCTACCTCTTTGCATGACAGAAGGTGTTATTTAAAAATAAATACAGATTGAAATGACAGTGTAGGGGTAGAATCAGAAGATTGCAAAGACCCTCTGACCCATTTTCTGAGGAGTGCAAAAACGATACGCTGACACCCACATGGAAATTTCACCAGTCACCAGTCACTCTGCTTGGCAAGCTTACAATAGCTCTAGACCCTTAAAGTTGTATTCTTTATCGCTCCTCTTTCATTCAGGTCTTGATCTTCTGTTAAGTCCCCCGTCGTTTACAAATTTCAGCACTTGGAGAAGTCCAGGAGTTAATTATTAATGTTCATATGTGAATAATGAGCCAAATGACCTGTCCTCTTCTTCAGGCCCTTCTTGTGTTTTCTGTTCTCTTGCACTGAAAGGTGGTTTGGAAAATGTGATGTCATCACCTTCTTATTGAGCGGGGTTCCGTTTGGGGCACTCTGACCTGTTTTAGTGATTGCAACGAGTGGGTAACAGCGCCACCTTTGTTGGAAGCACTGCAGTTTTTGAATCAGCCATTTGTAAAGGGACCTTGGCTGGGTGAGGGCAGAACAATGTGAAAGGAATGAGATATTGCTAAGGGAAAGCATATTAAAGGCAAGGGAAACTACAAGAGTAACGTTGGAATCTAACTTCTTCAAACAGGAAGAAGATAAATCCTATAAGTTAGTAATTGTGATACACGCATGGTTTATATCCAAAGCAAAATTTAAATTCACATGGGGGCCACCGTTGAAACCTCTACCTGAGATTTGAGCCACTACTTTTTGGTGTTGTTATGCCTTCTTTGTTTTCACCAGGTAGGAAACTACAGTATTACCAATTTGAAGTGTAACAGGGCTTATTTAGCTCTTGTGTCTGTTCCAGAAATTATGTCACCCCCTTGAAACTATAATAGTAGGGAATTCCCCAGCAGGAGAAGGGAGTGCCAGAATTTCCCGCTGCCTGGGGAGTGGCTCTGGGTGGCTCTAGAGGCCAGAGACGCCTGTGAGCATTGGTGATCTAATCCGGGTGGGATTGGAATCGGACCAGTCGCAGTGTCATGCTGATTTCTGGACCTCATCTGTTATGCACATACAGTAATCTTTGTTTTACGTGAATCACACACTCTCAACTAGTGTAGTGGCTTGAATAACATAGTGTATGCGATGTAAATTACGCAAAGCCTTTGATGCTGAAATCAAAGGTTTGGGAAACTTTGATGAAACTGATGCCAATCTGCTCCGTTGCATTCTATGAACACATCAAATCCTCACTTTTGCTCTTAACACACCCATTGTATCTGAAGCTAATACTGTAGGTCAATACAGATTGCAGAACATGCCCTTCTATGGCATGTTTTTTTTAATTAGAAGAATAAATAAATATTTCTAATGTGTTCTTGAGGGAAAAAAAATATTTGAGTTAAGTGCATGGTTCAACTTCATAAACTTTTCTCATTAAAATATTTGTAAAGTGTAAATTGATGAGTTTCTAGTGGTCAAAGTAAGTGTGTTTATCAAAGGAAAATATTACTATTTATTACTAACGGAAAGTTGCTGTGTGGGGTTAGATATAATGTGTCAGAGCAGTCCTGTGTGGGAGGAACTGCTTCTTTTTCTTTGTTAATATACAAAACATTTAATCAGACAGGCCCAATTATCTGTTCAAAAAGGGAAGAAGCAATTTCTCATTTAATCCCAGTCTTAGTTTTTTGAGTGTTTATCCAAATTCCAGTCTTTGTGATTGAACCTACCATTACCACAGAGATAAGAGGCTGCCTTTATAAAAATCCTGAACATGAATCACGTTTTACTAAGTGCTGGAAATGAAAGTCTGTGATGGCAGCAGATCATGCTGCAGTGCAACACTAATAAACTGCATTGAAGACAGATGCACTTCTGTATTAATAGTCAAAATTGCACCCCGGAGTGTGTCATTCTGAGAAAGTAAGAAGAGATATTGTGGAGATAAGTTACACAATTATTTGTTTGTTTCTGGGTGACTTTAAATAAAATATGAATAATATAAATTCTGACGAAGCAGCCTTTTCAGTTTCTAGATCTGATGGTCTGATATAAAAGAATAGCATTTGATATCTTACAGATGAATTATCTTTCAACTTTATCACAATAACTACACAACAGGAAGGGGGAAAGCAGAAATAAATGCTTTTGCTTATTTTTAATGTTAATACATAAGGATAAGTAGCATTTTCATTTATTTATCTTCTATTCCATGAAATGGGTTTACAGTGGATCCTTTTCTTTTGAAACATGAAAGGAAGTATTTATGAGAACTAAAGAAACTGTTGCAATACTGGGAAATGGGAATAGTAAAAGTCATTTTGCAAGAGAAGAAACTTTCTCGATGGGTAAGGAGTCACTAAGATAAAAAGCATACAACCCAAACCCTTTGTTCTAAACGCATATCATACATTATGCCTAATGGGTTGTGGCCTAGTTCTGGGGGGTCCTGCAACCGTGTACTCTCTGTAAATACTCACACAGAAAAACTTTGGTTCAGTACCAAGCAACTGAGGGCTTGGGTACACAAGAGGGTCTCTTAACTTGCATTCTGCGCATGAAGGGTCATCCGTCCAGCTTTTATCACAAATCCTCTTAATCCTGCTACGGGTCATGGCATGTTGGAGGCTATCCAAAACCACAGGATCAAGGAGAAACCACAGCCTGTGCTCAACATCTAGATAAACGAATTCAGCAAACCTGCAGGTCTTTTTGGGAACTTGGACAAGCACCTGGAAAAAAAAAACCTATGCAGATGTGGAGGATGAACATGCAAACTCTACATACAAGGTACCTGGGACAGGACTTGAATCAAGCATCCAAGCATTGTGAGGAACAATAAACTTCATTATCTAGTTGTAAAATAAATTAGACAAATTCAGCATTTGTCTCTGGTCTTGAGGAGTTTGGATAACATAATCCTGGTAAATGTTGGCTGTTGAGTTCTACAGCTGTGAAGGTCTGTACTACTGGCACTGGACACTCCTGTTGGAAGATCTTAAGCCTCTCACAGGAACTTAAATCTTGTTATTAGCCAGCAGTTAGCCACTGCCTGTTTTGCATTAAACAATTCATTTACCTCATCTCAGTTATCTTCTGTTCTGCAGATCCTGTGTTTATTCATATCAGTACCCTCCTACAAGTCACAGGGTGAACCTGCAGTGGCAGACACAGTCTGATCATTTTTAAAGATAAGAGACAAATATCTTACACTGTGAGTGCTGTAGGTGGATTAAACAGGAGGAAGTGAAACATCATTTTTAACTAATCTCAGCTGATCATTGTTATGTTTTTTTGT